CTTCACTTGTTAGTATCCTCCTTCAAGAAACATCTGCAACATGTGCATAATTTGTGCAGAGGCAGTGTGTATGGTAGTGTGTACTTGGGTCTCCCTTACTTACCATTGCTGAATGTTTGAGGTCCTCAGAACACCTCCCAAGGTGTATCCAGTTCTCCTGTTACATAGGTGCTGCAGTAAGCAATCGTGAGTGTTTGCATGGGCAGCACGGCGCGTTTGTAAATACCCCGTGTCAGAAAACATCTCTCTTGCAGTGCTGGGATTGAAAGAATGTTTGCAATTGGAAAACACTACTCACGGTTCACTATCTACTGTGGATGTGTCTACTGAACTACTTAGTGGATGATGGGGCCTAACTTTTTGATTTTCAAAGAGGAGGACCATGGTTATTATGAAAGGTCACAGTCACATAGACTAGCTAACTCAAAGGTGCCATTCTGCCTCACCTTCCCAAATTGTTAGGATTAAAAGCATTCACGGGCTAGATTTTAGTTTTTTTGTTTTGTTTTGTTTTTTCTGTTTTTTGGGTTTTTTTTTTTTTTTGGTTTTTCGAGACAGGGTTTCTCTGTGTAGCTTTGGCCTTTCCTGGAACTCAGTTGGTAGCCCAGGCTGGCCTCGAACTCAGAGATCTGCCTCGCTCTGCCTCCCAAGTGCTGGGATTAAAGGCGTGCGCCACCACCGCCCGGCTAGATTTTAGTTTTATCTCTAGGACATGCCAGCAGTTGAAATAATGACTTTGTGAATTCCTTTTCCATAAGGGGGTTTTCAGATGATTGATCACTTTATAAGCCAGCATTCAATTTCCAGATACTTAAGGCCCAAATCAAGAAAGTCATAAAGCCTTGAGACAGTTTTTTAAGGCACTTAGGTAATGTGGGCATTCAGAGAATTACTGCACTGAACACTAATGCCTGTGTGACTCCTGGACTTGATCTAGTTAAACAGTGGAGACAGGGCTGGAAAAATGGCCCAGTGATTAAGAATACATTCTGGAACCCAAGTCCGTTCCCAGAACTGGTCACCCACTATTGCCTGTAGCTCCAGTTCCAGCAGATCTGACACCTGCCCTCCACACACTAGCAAGTATGTGGTGTATATACTCAAGATTTTTTTTTTAAAAATAGTGTATCTTTAAAAATCAAAACTGAGGCCAGGTGGTGGTAGCATACACCTTTAATCTCACAGCACTTGGGAGGCAGAGGCAGGCGGATCTCTTGAGTTCGAGGCCAGCATGGTCTTCTACAGAGTGAGTTCTAGGACAGCCAGGGCTGCACAGAAAAAACTCTGAAAAACAGAAACAACAACCCTGAGGACATTCACCCGTAGCCCCGAGAGCCTGATACTTCTTTGGGGGTAGTCCCCACACAGTCTGTTAGGATGAAATAATGTCTTAAGTTTTTTTTTGTTTTAAATTTTGTTAGTTTTGTTGTGAGGTTGGGGTCTCATGTTACTCGGGCTGGCCTGGGAATTCAGCTAAGGATGACTGAACTTGCTTCCTCCAGGTGCTGGGAGTACCCGTGTGTGCCACCACACTGGTGTAGGTAGTGCTGAGGGTAAAACCTGGAGTTTGCACAGTGGACAGCATGAACCAATCAGGCTTTACCCCAGACCTGGCCATTGTCCATAGTGTGTAGACTCCCTGTAGCTAGTGAGCAAACTTAAGATGCATGAGCATTAACATTTTTTGTTTTTTTTTCCCAAGAGTTTCTCTCTCTATTCCTAGATGTTATGGATGGAACTGGATCTGTAACCCATGCTGGCCTTAAACTAGGAAATCCTCCTGCCTCTGCCTCCCAAAGACTGGGATTAATGGCATGTGCCACTACTGCCCGGCCAAGTTTGTTTTTAAGTTTTATGTGTATGAGTGTTTCTCCTCTGTGTATGTCCCTGTTCCTCACAGAAGCCTGAAGGAGTCCGATCGAGGCCTTGGAACTGGAGTTAGAGGCAGTGGTGAGCTTCCATGTTGCTAGAAATCCTCTGCAAGAACAAGTTCCCTAAACGGCTTCTACATCTCCAGCCCTTCGTGAGCATTTCCAAGCAAATTTGATAAGGAGAAAACCCACCTGCCTAGTACTTGAGGAAGTTGAAGGGGAGGATCCCAGGTCAAAGGCTAGCTTCAGCTACATAGTGAATGGACAGGCCAGCCTTTACTACATGAGGCCACAGAGAAATCTACTAAAGTAATTATGAAGTCAGAAGGAGAGATGGGGTCGGTTTTTAGATCTCTAGCAAATGCTAAAAGATGAACAAGCAAGGAGGCTGTGAAGGTCCTGAGCCCTGCAGGGATAGTCACTCCCACTGCCCAGGTTTGGGTTGCAAAGGGTGTCGCCCAGAGTTTGAGCTCTTGGTTTTGTAGTGCCCTCTGAACATTGAGTTGAGTCAGAAACGTAGTTACATCTGCGTTTTTATGTATAGTGATGTTTTGTGTGTCTGTACCGTGTGCAGTGCCCACAGAGGCCAGAAGACTGTTGGATTCCTGGAACTGGGGTCACAGACTGTTGTGAGCCACCATGTGGATGTTGGGAATCTCGATCATCTGGAAGAGCAGCCAGTGCTCTTAACCCCTGAGCTTTCTCTTGAGACCCAGTTTTGTCAGTTTGTTTTGAGACAGGGTCTTGTCATGTAGCTTTAGCTGGTAGGCCTTTTTTTTTTGAGACAGTTTCCCTGTGTAGTTTTGGTGCCTGTCGTGGATCTCTTTAGGCCAGACTTGCAGAGATCTGCCTGGCTCTGCCTCCTGAGTGCTGGGATCAAAGGCGTGCACCACTGCCGGCGTAGACCAGGCTGGCCTTTAATTCCTGCCTTAATCTGAGTATTGAGATTAAAGGTATATTCCTCTGTGCCCAGCAGTCCTGCTTTAAAAAAAAAAAAAAAGTGTGTTTTGACTGCACGTATGTATAGCTGTGCATCACATGCATACAGTCCCTGAAGAGGACATCGCCATTGGAACTGGAGCTACAGACATTTGTGAGCTGTCGGGTGGGATTCAAACCCAGATCATATGGAAAAGCAGCTGGTGCTCTCAACCTCGGAACCATCTCCAGCCTCTCCTCTTTTAAAAAAGAGATTGTGTGTGTGTGTGTGTGTGTGTGTGCGCGCGCGCGCGCGCGCGCGCGTGCGTGCACGCGCACACGCGCTTCAAAAAACAGATTCTGGTGGCCAAACAAGTTCTTGTGTTTGCAGAGCTAGCTCTTCACCAACTGAGAAATCTGTCTACTGTGTATGGATTGTTTCTCGTTACATCCAGCCATGGTGGAAGAAAGCTAGAAATCAAAAACTGTGGAATATACCACACAAACTGGAGAGTGAACAACACGTTGGAATATTGAGTCATTGGAAATGTAAAGGTTAACTAAAATTGAGCGAAAACCAAAACAAAAACCAGCATGCCAAAACCTATGGGGCACAATGAAAGCATTGCACAGGGTCGTTCATGGGTAGTTAGGTCTCACGTGATTCAACGGGCAAATCCCCAGAAGTGATGCGGGTCACAGTCTAAGGGACCTAAGTGGAAGTAGGAGAAACAGTAGGGAGAATCAGTGAAACAAAGTTCTTTGAGATAAGATCTGATTGGCAAATCTTCAGCCAAATTCAAGAATAGACATGAACTTCCATGCCTGTCCAGTTTTTGGTTTTTGAAGACAGTGTTTCTACATGTAGCCTTCTATGACCTGGAACTCACAGACCAAGATTGCCTCAAACTCACAGAGATCCATTTGCCTCTGCCTCCCCAGTGTTGGCGTGTGCCACCAGTGCCTAGCTGTCCCTGGCCAGTTTTTGTCAAGTCTTACACAGCCTAACTGTGGTACTCTGCCCTCATTCCTTGCCCATTCCACTTGGTCACATTGGGCTCCTTGAAGTTTCCTCCCATACCAAGCTTGCCTCTGTTCCCTCCACCTGGAACAGGTATTCCACCCCCAGTGCCCTCTCTGGGCCCCTCAAGTCCATCAGATCCATCTGTGGAGGTCACATGATCTTCCTAGGTACCCAGCATTAACACTGTTCCCCGGCCCTGTTGAAGACCTGCTGGCCAGTAACACCGATCCTGGCCGCACATCCCCGGAGATCTGGACTTGAACCCTGTGTGGTTTGTACAAACATTTTAACTTATTATTTAAAAAAAAATTATTGTGTGTATAAGTGAGGGAGAGGAAAGGGTGGGGAAGGGAAGGAGGGAGGTTGAGAGAGAGTGCACAAGCTGGCTTACCTGGTGTGTGTGGGTCAGAGGATAACTTTCTGTTCTCATCCTCCACCTTGTTTCTCAGGTGTTTATTCCAGGTTGGTTGGCGGGAAGGCTCTGGACAGTTTCCCATCTCCACTTCCCATCTGGCACCAGGAGTTGCTGGGATTATTAATTTGTCACATTACATCCTGTTTTTTGTTGGAGACAGAGTCTTTTAACTATGTAGCCCTGGCTGTCCTGGAACTGGATGTGTAGACCAGGCTGGCCTCAAACTCAGAGATCTGAGTCTGCCTCTGCCTTCTGAGTGCCGGGATTAAAGGTGTGCGCCACAACAGACAGTATCTTGCCCTTTTTTGTTTGCTTTGTTTTTTGAGACAGGGTTTCTCTGTGTAGCCTTGGAACTTCCTCTCTAGACTGTGAAGGCCTTGAACTCAGAGATCCACCTGCCTCTGCCTCTGGAATGCTGGGATTAAAAGTGTAGGACACCACTGCCCGGCTTCATCTTGCCTTTTTAATTTGGGTTCCAGGAATCACACTCAGGTCCTAAAGCTTGTGTGGCAAGTGCATCTGATCAGCCCCATATATATATATATTTGAACTTATGAGCCTCGATTTCCCCATCTGTAACTTGGGAGCCTGTTTCAAATGGGATCTTAGTGAAGGGTAAATGTGGGGCAGGAGGATCACCATAAATTGGATACTAGCCTGGTTTATAAGTGGGACCATTTCAAAAAACAAAGAGTACACGTGACATGTAAATCCTAGTTCCCTCTCGTTTGTGCCCTCCAGATCTTCCAAGGAGTCTCCCGGACCAGTGCGATCGCAGTACAACGTTTCCATTTACTTTTGAGTTATATATCGTTATAAATATTAACAAATAAGACTTAAAAAGGACACCTTCGGGAAGGTCAGACGAAAAGTACAAAAATTGTGTCGTGGCGCTGCAGTTTGAGGACGTACTCTGCAGCCGTCACGTGGTAGTAAAACTGTAAGCAGTGCACGAGGCCGCGTCGACGACAGCCCGCCAGCATCCATGCATCGGGAAGGTCGCTTGGCTGGAGGACAAAGGGTTGGACATGCTTGGTCCGGGCTCGGCAGGCGGGCCGGCCGCGGAGGTGTAGCTCCTCGTTCTCGCCACTAGAGGTCAGGAGGTCACCGCCTCAGGGTTGGAAGACGGCCCGTTCGGGGATTGGCTAATGGTGGCTGCGGGCACGGCGGAGACCAGGACGCTAGGTGGATGACAGGACTTTGGAATGACCTTTGTTTTTGGTATCAGATTTCCTCTCTGTAGCGCTGTTGGACCAGAAGCAAGATACCCGTTTGGAGTGAAAAGATGAACTGATTCTGCAACTTCTCAGAGGGCTTTTCCTTTAACAGAGATGGAATGTACTGGGGCTTTAGACAAGCCAGGGCCCCGGGAAAGTTCCATCCCTTTAGTGGGCTCTTGCCTGGGCACTCACACACAAGCCAGCTGGCTAGAAGCCCTGTCTCCCACCCAGGCTTCACAAGGACCATCTCTGAGGCCACGCCCACTTACTGCCTGGGACAACAGAGGGATCCAGGTTCTTGTCCCACCTGCGCGTGCTCTCTTGCTGGGCCTCAGCAGTCACCTAATGTCTAACAAACACTTCTGTATCTTCAGGAGGCTGCCAGGCTCCTCTCAGAACAGGGCACCCCGAAGGGCAAACACTCAATTACTCAGCTCAACCAGGTGTGCTGAAACACCCTCCTTGGGCCCCAAGAGGCTCCCATTTCTAGCTATGTGGGGAAAACACCAGCCTTGACACTAAAAGTCCCTTGACCACAGGCTAGGCGCAGGGCAGCCGAGTTCCAGGGCTTGGCTGTGGTCTTTTGGTAAACTCTAAATGGCACAGATGATTTCAAAGCCAGCTAGAGTGTGACGTGCCCGGCACTAACAAGATGTGTCTGTAACACAGACCTCACCAAGCCCCAGCGGCTCAGGAGGGAAAGGAGTCCTCAGCCTCAAACAGTTAAAGGGCTTGCGGTTAAAACTTGGTTCAGCCCCTCCCAGCTTGGTGGCCCTAGAAGTTTACCAACTTCTCTGAGACCATTTGTAAAATGGGTTGACAAAGGCCCCCCCACCCCCCCACCCCCCGACAAGATGGTGAAGAGTCAGTGAGAAAGTGCCTGCCAATTCACTAACATAGGCACAGCCTTTCCAAGAGGGAAACCCAGTCTCTATTAGCAACAGGTGGCTGGGTGCTGTGGGGGACAGAGACCTCTTCCCTGCCAAGTGGGGAAGGCTGGTGAACACTTGGGATTGGATCATGACCTGTGACCCTGGGGCCTTATTTTAGCTGTAGGAGGTGCTGGGCTTCGGGTATCTCCCCTCTCGGGACCCCCGTGCCTGTCACCCAGTGATGGGTTGAACAAATGGCTCTGAGATGATGGTGGAACTCCTTGGTTCTCTGTTTCTCCTGTCTTCCTGGAGCCCCAGTTGGCAGGAGACATTTGGGAGCTTCAGGATTGGTACGTGTTGCACCCTATCCCAGAAAGTGAGGCCCGGGCTCTCAGCTCCTGAGGGCAGAAGCCCCACCCCTACACCTTCCCCCAAACAAGGCGCTGTTTTCCACCGCTATTCCTAGATCAACCCACTGTCCTGATAGGTCTAGGATGTCATGGAGTCCTGCGGGACCCAACACCAGCCTGAGCTGAGGGGATGAGGAAGGGAGAGATGGGCAGGCAGGAGGAACTCTTGCCCCTTTTCATGCTAGTAGGGTCCCTTTCCCTTTTCTCTACGCTGCGGGAAAGAGGCTTCTGCTGAGAACAGGAGCAGTGAGTACTGAGGCCCCTTGGGAGCAAGATCAAATGGGAGAGCTTGGGTTTGAACAGTCAACCTCAGTTTCCCTGTAGTGCTTGTACACATTCCCAAGCCCAGCTCCTGCCTCAAAGCCTAATGCTGCAATGCCCCCACGGCTCTCTGTCTGTGTCCCCTGGCATCTACCTCAGGCCTCCTAATCTCTGTATTTGGCTTTCTCTTAGCTTCAGAGCCACAGCTGGCTTTTCAAGGCTGTGCTGAACCCTGACTCCCGCCAAGACGCCTTCCCTGCCCTCCACCCTCTAGCGGTCAGCAGTACCCACAGCCCCTGCAGACAACTGGCTGGTCCTGTGTGCCTCACTCCTTTGTGGCTATGTGTAGACCAGATCCTCTGCTAGTCAGGAACTCCCCGCCGCCGGGGCTCACAGGCTCTGTCCATCAATACCAGGCATGAGTGAGTTGGAAGCTCCAGTTGGCTACATTGTCTGTCTGTCCTCGAGTCCTGGGCTCCACCGGCCCATAGTCCTTCCTCTGTGGTCCCCAGGCAGCCAGGGTACCCCAACTTCTGAGCTTGCAGCATGTGTTCCACCCCTCACCTCCAACAGGTCCTCACCCTAGATAGCCCTTCCTTTGGGCGGAGCTGAGGCCCAGAATTTCTCCCAACTCCAGCCCTCCTGGGCCCCAGGGGGTTGAAACGGGTCCAATGTTGTGTCTTCTTGTCCCTCCAACGGGGCAGGGCTGGATGCTCTGTGGCCTCCAAGCAGGGGCTGCAGTGGCTGTGCCCGAGTAGACAACCTGGATCTTGCCCCTTGTGAGGGCCACAGCCCTTGATGGCAGTTGAGAAAGCCCCGGGCAGGGCCTGTGTGGGCCGGGTGGCATGGTGGGTGGCAGCAGATGGGACAGTCAGTCGCTGAGCACAGCTCCTGGGAGCTCGTTGGTGAGCGTGTGCCAGCGCTCGATCCTCTTGTCCTTGTTCTTCAGGCAGTCGAACCAGTGCTTCAGGCGCTCGCCCTTGGCATTGATGCCCAGAACCACGCCACCTGTGGAAGAGGCCAGAGGGGCAGCCGGGGATGCAGTGACTCAGTGTCTGGGTCCTCCCTCTGGCCCAGCTGTGGGTGGACAGCATCTGGCTTCCAGCCACACCCTGCCCACCTGACCTGGTGCTTGATGTCATATTCTTCCTCTGTCAGGGACCAGAGCAGTGTGGGGCAGGGTGCCAGGACACATTAGGGACGGAAAAGGGAAGGAAGGGCTACAGTGGCCTAGTGTGCACCAGAAACACCCACCAGAAACTCGGGCTCTGAGTCCAGCCTCAGGTGCTGACCGTCATCACTCTAGGTCCCCCACAAACTGCTGTGAGCCCTTCCCAGGGCCCCTTCCCTCTCTGGGCCCATCTCTTGTCATGAGTACAGTCCAGGGAGTATCCGAGGTCCCATTCACTAGGGGTAAGTGGTTCTTGGACCCATATCTGCCCAGGACAGGCACACGGCTAAACAGCATTTCCCTTGTACTCCTTACCGATGAAATCATTGGATTTGCCAATGTCATAATCCCAGACAGTGACCTCCAGGGTCTTCTTGGCCAGGTCTCCATGCTTGATCTCATAACAGAACTCCTGCTGGCCAGAAGAGGGTGTTAGAGCCAAGGCCACGTGGCTGAGAGGGGTCTGTGATGTGCTGAGGGATGGAAGTGGTCAGTGTGTGATGCCTCTAGCCAGTTGGCCGGCTTCTGCCTGATGAGAGACTAAGCAGGCCCCACCCTCCACCCCCTGCCCTTCTGTCCCAGAAGCTGCCCCCAGATGCTGCGAGACCCCCTGGCTGCAATTAATTGTCCAGTGAAGAGTCTCTGTCATCCTTCCCCTTGTCCTCCAGGGCTGGCCTTGCTTCTGCCTGTGAATCCTGGGCTCAGTCAGGCCTGAGGTGCTCTGGGGTTTCTCCCAACTTGCTCAGTGAAGAGCCCCAGGCCTGTGTGCCACCCTCTGTTCTGAGGGCCTGGGCACCCACTTGTCCTGTCCGGCCTTTAGGCATTGTGCCATGACCTTCTCATCTACCAAGTTCAAGTTTGAGAACTGTGCAATTGAGTTCCAAACAGAAACTGCAAAAAAGTTCCACAGTATGTTAGTAAGTTTGTGGTTTTGTGTTGACTGTATTCACAGCTGTCTGGCCATGTCTGCTGGGGTGTCTTGAATCCCCACATCCCACCTAGAGTGTCTCCCCATTGTCTTCATACCTCCCTTCCCAACCCTGTCATCTAGAAGGGAACCGGGAACCCAGGAGCTGCTCAACATTCCTTCTTTTTTCAACCCTACCTCCATCAACAAGACCTTCTAGAAGGTTCCTTAGTCCCATGTGCGTCCCCATTGCCAAGCAATCCGGTGGAGCCTTACCCACCATGACTGAGGGCGCTTCTGGCAGCTGCTCCCCACCCTCTCATCACTTTCCAGTTCCCACAGTGCCCCTTTGAAAACCAGGTCCCTCCAGACTCCCACCCAGCCCAGGGGAGCCCCACAGCCCCTCGTGAAGCCCAGCCCCCACCCCCCAGCCTGGCCATACCTCATTGAACTCCGGGTTTAGTGTTTTCTTTTTCACTGCGGTCTTATGCTTGGATTTCTTGTCTACATCTGGCTTCAGGTATCTGGAAAGATAACTGGGGACAGTCAGAGGCTGGGGAGCGCTGTGGACTGCGGATGGTGCTAGCAGAGTGCTATGGGGCTCTGCCCTGGACATGCATCCCTGACTACCTTTGTCCTAACGCTTGAGTCCCCAGCCTGCCCACCTGTGGGCAACACTGAGGTGGCTACATGGTTACCCAAGCACACCTGCGTCCCCAGAAGAGGATGTATCTTTCTTTTCTCTGGAAATCTGATCTTTACAAAGCTCGCACCCCCCACAGGAAAGCCAGTTTTGTAAAGTAGGGTTTATCCCTTGTTCAGGAATTGTCGTTTTTATTTTTTAAGTAGGGGGTGAGGTGGGGGACACTGCAATGCTTGACACTGAACCCAAGCTCTCCTGCACATAAGGCAATGCTCTACAAGCTATTCTTAGCTCCAGCCCCAAGAGCTAAGAGCTTAAACACCCCCACCAACACCAGATTTATTAAGAATTCACACACCATAAACTCCATTCTTTTTAACTGTAAAATTCCATTTTTCAGTATACCCTCGGAGCTGGGTAAGCATCATTCCTTTGTTGGAGCCTTTAGGAAGGTTCTCTTTTGGCCGTTATCGGGGATGATTCCTCCAGAGGGATGGTGAAACTCCTGCCCTTCCCTCCTTAGATTTTTTTTTCCAAAACAGGGTTTCTTGGTGTACCTGTGGCTATCCTGGAACTCACTCTGTAGACCAGGCTGGCCTTGAACTCAGAGATCCACCTGCCTCTACCTCCCAAGTGCTGGGATCAAAGGCATGCACCATCACTGCCTGGCCCCTCCATAGACTTTAATCCACCCTAGGCCCAGAGAGGTGGAGTGACTTGCCCAAGGTCACATGGCTGGCAAGAGTGGTGCTTGGAAGCCAGGCTCAATCTCCTTTCTCCATGACAGGGAGGTCATTCACAGGCTGGGAATGCAGGAGGCCTCTGAACTCTCCTTCGTAGACTCTCCCACCCTGTCCCTGCACAGACAATGGTGTGACAAATGCCTTGTTTCCGCTAAGTGTGTTCTACTCAGTCTACTGGGAAACCTCAACACAGTGAATGACTAGTTTCCTGGAGGTTTAACATGTCCATAGGCCTGCCAACAAGAGTCAAGCTTCTTGCCTGGTTTTTGCCAAACTTTGGCCTTGGAAAAGCTGAGTGCTGTTGTTTAAAAATCCTTACTGGCGGCCTAGCAGGCTGCTGGGTGTTGTGGAACCATCTTTTTGTACATGGTGAAGATGTGTTGCTCTCATTGGTTTAATAAAGAACTAAATGGTCAATAACTAGGCAGGAAGAGGTTAGGTGGGACTTGCAGACAGGGAGAGAGCTCTCTGGGATGAAGAAGGGCAGAGTCACCAGTCAGATGCAGAGAAAGTAGGACATGTACAAGATGAGGTAACAAGCCATGAGCCACATGGCAACAAGTAAATTAATACAAATGAGTTAATTTAGGTTATAAGAGCTGGCTAGAAACAAGCCTAAGCTATCGGCCTAGCATTTATAATTAATGATAAGCCTCTGTGTGGTTATTTGAGAGCTGGCTGGTGGGACAGAAAAGTCTGCCTACAGTTGGGAGCTTTGCACTTGCTGCCCAAGCCCACCCATGTGAGTGTGGATACTCCCCGATCCCTCTGCCTGGAGCACATATAGTAGAATGAGAGAAAGGACTCCTACAAGTTATCCTCTGACTTCCATATCCATGAACTTTTTTTTTTTTTAGTCTCTCAGGATGGTTGGGATGACCCTGAATTCCTGATCCTCCTGCCTCCACTTCCTAAGTGCTAGTATCACAGATGTGACCACCACACCCAGCTTCAAGTTGAGGTTCTGTTACATATACAATACTGGCTTGTTGAAACACATATTAGAAAGTACATGTTAGTTGGGCAGTGGTGGTGCACGCCTTTAATCCCAGCACTTGGGAGGCAGAACCAGGATCTCTGTGAGTTCGAGGCCAGCCTGGTCTATAGAGCGAGATCCAGGACAGGCACCAAAACTACACAGAGAAACTCTGTCTCGAAAAAGCCAAAAAAAAAAAAAAAAAAAAAAAAAAAAGAAAAAGAAGAAAGTACATGTTAACAAAGATTAGTGGTAAGGAAGAGAAATGAAAATGTATGTCGACACAAACACTTCGGGATTTGTTTTGTATTTGTGACATAGTTTGCTATACAGCTTGGCTTCCCTGGAACTCAGTATGTAGCTCAGGCTGGCCTTAAACTCCCTACCCTCTGCCTCCGCCTCCCAAGTGCTGAGATTTCATGTGTGCACAGCCTTGCCTGAATTATATGTCAATGGCTGCTTTACACACAATCATGCGAAATTTAAACAACCTACATGTCCTTCAACTGGCAAACTGATTAACAATGAGCTCATGTTTTACATACATGCTGAGAGCTATGCAGCCATATCAAAGATGGAGTCTCCAGTACATGTACTGTGTGGGTGAACCTTGGACAAATCATTCATTGCAGATGAAGCCTGGCCCAAGGCAGCATCCATCTGATGTTTGCTGTGAAATCTGGGGAAGGTGACTGTTGTGGAATATTATCTTAAGATGTGTCACTTTTGTTTATGCTGCATTTGTTTAACTCTGTGAAGCTGTGTTGCTTTGCCTGTCTTAAAACACCTGATGGTCTGATAAAGAATTGAATGGCCAATAACGAGGCAGAAGAGAGAAACAGGTGGGGTTGGCAGGCAGAGAGAATAAATAGAGGGAGAAATCTGGGAGGAGCAAGAAGAGAGATGGAGAAGTGAGAAAAAGGAGGAGGTAGTGAGAGCAGGAGGAGGACTCCAGGGTCCAGCCACCCAGCTGCTCGGGGTGAGAGTAAGATTTACAGAAGTAAGAGAATGGAAAAAGTTCAGAGACATAAAGGTAGATGGGATAATTTAAGTTAAGAAAAGTTGTCAAGAAACAAGCCAAGCTAAGGCCGGGCATTTATAATTAGGAACAAGCCTCCCTGTGTGATTTATTTGGGAGCTGGGTGGCCAGTACCCCAAAAGAGCACAAACAAACAACAAGAGACGCTACTCGGATAGACAACAGGCCAGAGGATGCCAGGAGCTAAGGAACTCCTGGGGTAAGAGCAAAACAGCTGACTTTCTATATCTGCTGGCCCTAGACCCTCAGATTCAACCATCTGAGGGTTGGATTTGGTGATGCACCCTTGGAATTCCAGTTTTTGGAAGACTGAGGCAAGAAGATTACAAGTTCATGGCCTGCCTGGGGTACATAGTGAGACCCTGCCTTAATCCCTACTCTCCATCCCTCACAGAAAGAAAAAGGAAGAAACTTCACCTGTACTAACCTCTCCAGCCTTTCCTCATCATTACTCAGAGACAGGTAACAAGTGTTGACATGGTCTCAGTGGCAGGGAGGAGCCTCGAGCTGTGAAAGCATCCTGTTAGGGCTTCAGTCAGTTTGTCTGTGCAAGTCAGTACCAAGGAAGACCCTAGGTTCTGCGTCACCCTCTACATGACCTGGAGTTGGAGTCCACCCAGCAGATTGGCACCGAACACAGTTTAAAATGTTCATGCCATATTGGCTCCGCATCTCATTTCTGTCTCAAGAGAAATGTAGTGTGACAGGTGTGTGTGTGTGTGGGGGGGTGACACACCCCGCTGACCTCCCAGTCCTGCTGCTCCATGCCTCCCTGTCTCCACTCAGGACTGCCCTGCAAGGTTCAAGAAGTGCAGTGGCCCTCAGTGTCTGTGGAAGATGCACTCCAGGGCACATCTGTACATGCCCAAGTTCTTACGTTAAATGAGCTGGCACCTGCAGAGAACCTGCCACAGCCCGCCGTAGACTTCTAAGTGGTCTCTAGGTCACGTATTGATAACCTAAGCCACGGAAATGCTGCATACATGTCCATGGCTCTGTTGCTTAGGGGATAATGACATGGAAAAAGTCTGCACATGCTCAGAAGAAGGCTTTTTTTTTTTTTTTTAGATTTTTAAAATTGGGTTTTTATTTTATGTATATCTGTGGGCACCTGCATGTATGTATGCACACCATGTATATATCTGGTGCCCTCTGAGACCAGAAGGTGGCGTCAGAGCCCCTGGAACTACGTTACAGGGCGTTGTGAGTCGAGCTGAATTCTTCCCCAAGGCTCCTCTCCGGAGAGTGTCGCTGTGAACTCAGTGACAACTCACATCATTTGTGAAGAGCTCCATGCACCGAGGGTGGGTTCGGTGGCATCTGTCACCTTGTCTCCAAAAGGTCACCTGCTTCTACCTGCCCCTGGATCTCTGAGTGCAGCCTGACCCAGCCAGGTCTACTCTTGTGGGACCCAGGCCACTGTACAAACTCTAGCCAGTGTCTGTCCTTAGTGCTACTGTCAGTGGTAGGGAGTGTAGACACAGGGCTGGGCACACACAGGAAGACTTGGCAAAGGTCTCTTGCCGGCCCCCCTAGTCTCCTGGCTCCTGGCACTGGCCCTGCCTCCTCCCCCAACTTGCTTGTGAGCCTGGCTCACTAGTGGCCTTGCATCCCTAAGCCCCAGGTTTGATCTCCAGCACTGCAAGTTCCTGTGTGGTGGTTCACACCTTCAATTGCAGTGGTCAGGGGGTAGGGGCAGCATGATCTCCATCCAGTTCAAGGTCATCCTTGGCTACACAGTACACTCAGGGGCAGCCTGGAATACATGTGACCGTGTCCTCCCATCACCGAAAAGAGAGGACTGTTCTCTCTCCTGGTGGGTGCCCCTTCTGCAGGCTTCAGTTTCTCCATCTGTGAAATGGGATGGCTGGTACTTAACTCCAGAGTCACAAAAGGAACCCAGAAGAAAACACCCTGGCGAACAAAGCCCCACTGCTCTGAGGCAACCCTCTTAGTGCTTGTTATGCTGGGCTCCAGCTCCAGCCACGCAGGAGAGCAGGGGAGCCTGGGCGCACACTCACGTTTTCACGTAGGGGTCTGAGTAGCCGTTAGCATCCATGGCAGCCAGATGTGCACAGCGCACGATGCCCACCAGCAGGCCCTGCTTCTGGGAGCTGTACTTGAGTGAGATGAGAATGCGGCCTCGCTCCTCCAGGGACTTGTCCTCTGCCTTGTCCACCTGTAGGAGAGGGTGGTCATTCTGTTGTCCTGGTCTGCTTCTACCTTCTTGGCTGAGCAGTAAGGCTGTCCATAACCTCACTCCCTGGATGTCTACTCACCGATGCTCAGCCAGGCTGGGACATACAAAGATCTATGGAACCCGGGGGCTGGGGGTGCAGCTCAGTGGTGCAGCACTTGCCTAGCACAAGTGAGGTCCTTGGGTCCATCCCCAGCTTGGAAAGGAAGGAAGGGGGAGAGGAAGGGGAGACAGGCAAGCAACTTCTGTGTCCTTAAGTAAAATTTTTCTGGAGCACAGCCTGGCCCCTCCACTTCCATCTCTCTGGAAGCTGTTTTTGCCTACAGCAGGAGAAGTGAGTGGCAGGGACAGAGGCGGCCTATCTGCAGGGCCTGACGCATTTACGACCCGGGTAGGAAGCCTGCCCCGGCCTGCCTGCTTGGCCTTTTTCACACCCAAGCCTCTCTGTGGACATCAGCTCTGAGCTAGTGAAGCTCTCCTCCACGTCTTTGCTCTGCTTCAACTACTCCCAGAAATTCGGCAAGGTGCCCCCCAACAGCCTAAACGACAGAGCTTTGCTACTTTCTGAGCCCCAAGGCAGCTGGAAGTCCGGTGGGAAGACGCCCAGGACCAGGACCCACTTCAGGCTGAGACTTTAGCTCAAGGCCTCCACATCCCATTCCTCCATGTCCTGACGGCGGGAGTCTTCTCCATTTCCCATGCTCCCCTAAGTCATCCAGACATGCACAAGTGGAAGCCCATGTCCCCTGAGGGTCCCTCCTCAGGACCTGCCAGGCTCTTTTTTTACAGGCTCAGCCTTTGCCTGCTGCTGTGCTCTGCTTGGGACTGACCTGAGTCCCAAGTGGCCAGGTCCAAACCTTCCTGGAGATGAGAGTCCTGTGAGATGAGGAAGGAATGGAGGCCTGTGACCCACAGGCCTTTCTCCAACTTTCATGCCCAGAGCAGACATGGCTAATTGATCCCAGCACTCGCCCTGAATTCAAATACAGCCTCGGCATCCTTCTCAACCCAATGCTCAGTCATGACCAACAGTACAGGGGTGTGATTCTGGGCTCTGTGTGTAGTCTATACAAGCAGAGATGTTTCCAAAGGCAGATGACACTACCATACTTTAGACTGTTTCATTTGACCACCACCGAACCAGGTATTTACTTAGAACAAGTAATATAGAGTATAAAACCTAAAACCACCAAAATATGTCCTTACAACCAGAGTGGTTACCCCAAATGTCACCCCTGTGGCCACTGTGTATCTCCAAGCTGGCCAATGAGCAACATGGCAAATTCAAGGGAGGCTTAGCAATGGCCAGAGTATGCCTCAGGAACACTCACAACACACATGCATCCAGATCCACACACATGTACACACTTACACATAGTGTGCACATGTATACATACACTTCCTATTTACTCATGCATTCATGTGCACAGAGTCTTGGGTTTTTTGGGGTTTTTTTTGTTTGTTTTTTCAAGACAAGGTTTCTCTGTGTAGCCCTGGCTGTCCTGGAACTCATTCAGTAGACCAGGCTGGTCTCGAACTCAGATCCATTTGCCTCTGCCTCTCAAGTGCTGGGACTAAAGGCCTGTACCACCACGGCCCATGGAGTCTTGTGAAATCCGAGGTCAGAACTCATGGACAACAAAGCATCATAGGAGCTGGTAGTGCCTTCTTTTTTTTTTTTTTTTTTTTTTTTTGGTTTTTCGAGACAGGGTTTCTCTGTGTAGCTTTGTGCCTTTCCTGGATCTCGCACTGAAGACCAGGCTGGCCTCGAACTCACAGAGATCCGCCTGCCTCTGCCTCCCGAGTGCTGGGATTAAAGGCGTGCGCCACCACCGCCCGGCTGGTAGTGCCTTCTTGAGGGGTGCAGGCCATTTGGAAAATTTGGGCCACCCCTGGCAAGTGACTCATACCACACCAGCAAAGGTTCTACCCATCTGCACTTGAGTGGAGAGAATGCGATATGAGAATACAATCTGAGAAGGTTATGCACATAGGCAGTGTCTCAGCTATGGGGTGGATTCCTAGGGCTGGGCTTGGGCCTAGCTTGCTGAGTGGCCATGTCCCAGGCTCCAGACCCTGCCAAGCCTGATGTACAGGGGTTAAATGCTGGACTTCCTCCTACCTGCTGTTCCCTTGCCTCAGGGTTTGGGGAGACAGTCATGTCCTGAGCATTGGGCAGTGGAGGGCTTAGCTTGTCTTGGCCCTGAGCACTGGGGCTCCCCTAGACTCTCTGCTCCTCAGCCTCTATAAGCAAGATGAGGGAGTGGTGAGGAGAGAAGGTAGGCAAGAGAGAGGAACAGACACCAAGACTGTGAGAGGGCTCAGCTGCTGAAGGCAACCGGGGTCAGATTTGCCCTGCATCACACCGAACAATTACAATGTCTAAGAAAGAATTATGTGCTGTCTCCTCTGGGCATCTCACGGCACTCCCGGCCGAACATGTTCCAACTGCATTGCCCCTAGTGAATGGCTCCCTCCTCCCGCTGTGCACCCAGGCCCCAGACCTGGAACCGCCTTTGTCCCCAGCGTACCCCTACTCATTCTATCTGGTACTTGGCTCCAGCCCGCCCCTCCCTCCTCCCTTTGCTCTGGTCAGCCCGAGCCCAGCAGGCAGGGAACCTGTTAAGGTATCGCCATGCCCTGCCTTGTGACAGAGACCTGTACTCTTAGCTACCGAGAAAGTTGAGACAGGAGAATCAAGAGGTCACTGCCAATCTGGGTGACCGAGCAAGTTCAAGGCCAGTCTGGGGAACTTAGCAAGACTCTGTTTTATAGGACAGTTACAAGGGAGTGGGGAGAGAGTTCAGCCAGTCAAGTGCCAGCTGTGTAAATCTGGATCCCCGGCATCACTGGAAAGCTGGGCAGAGTGGCCCAAATCTGCAACCCTATTATTGGGTGGAGACAGAATCCTAGCTCACTGGCTAGCCAGACCAGTTAGTGGGAGACCCTGCCTCAAAAAATGAGGTGGGGAGCAATTGAGGAAGATACTCCGTGTTGACGACAGGCTTACACATTCACACATGTATTCCCTGCACACACACACACACACACACACACACACACACACACACACACACCACATGAAAAATTTAAAATCTGCAAAAGTAAAATTTCAAAGGGGCTGAGGATGTAGCTCAGTAGAAGAGTGCTTGCTTACACACACATAAGGTCTTAGATTTAACCCTCCGCTTGTACCTTAGCTTAGCAACCTCTATGGAAAGTGAACTGATCCTGCCACTTCTGTGGCGTCCCCTCCCCTCCTAGGCTTGCTCCGTCCACTGTGCACTCCGCGCCACCAGTTAGCCTTGCTCCTGTCCCATCAACAGGCAGGTGAGTCCCTTCTCTGTCCCTGCAACGGTGCCTAGAACATAGACAGCATCGGCACGCGGCAGGCGCTCAGTAAACTCCCGTCTGGCTGGGGTGCCGGAGCCTTCCTCCACTCACCGGCAGCTGTTTCTCCAGGCAGATGCTGAACGTCTTGGTGTGGTTGGGTTTCAGCTTCTTCAGGGGCACTCGGGTCTCGCCGATGAACTCATTGTGGCGGAATTTGTCCTCGTCACACACGGAGATCCTGGGGGCGAGTGGCTTCCACAGTCAGTGGGAATTCGTAAGTGGTAGGGTGTCCCCCGGGTGGGGTGCAGGCACGGGGGCCCTCACCCACCTCAGGGTCTTTCGGATCATGTCCTCATCCGTGATCCCGTAATAAGTGAGGGTCTCGTTCCATGTGGGGTTCAGAGTGTTCCTCAGAGTTTTTGTTCTGAGCTTATTTGCCTGGAAAAAGAGAGAGAGTGTGATCTTCTTGGTCCTGAATGAGTGTGGCCAAAAAGCTGGCCAGCCTGCTCCCTCCACCCACGGAGGAGCCGTTATCGGACCCAGTGGAGGAGACCTGAGGCAGGAGGTGAAACTGACACTGTTAATTTGCTAACTTAAAAACAGCAAGCTTATTGGAGGCATGCCAGTGGCCCCTGTGGTCACAGAGGTCTTTGGCAGCAAAAAGATAGCCAAGAGAGACGGGACCAGCACAGCGGGAACTCCGCTGGCTTCAGACCCGGGGCAGGGGCTGCCGCTGGGGACGTTGGAAAGAAAAGGGAATGACTGTCCCCAGCATGGACCAGCCATGTTGGCATCTTGACTTCTGGTCTAGTCAGTGCAGCCTGTCTGGCTGGTGACCCGTGGAACAGGAAGGCGATGGTGTGTTTAAACGGCTAAGCCGTGGGAATTGGTTGAGGTAGCCACAGAAAGCTAACGTGAGGAGCATCCCACCCCTAGACCCCGGTGACAACAACAGGGTAGAGGTGATGACTACGGGGTGGTTCTGCATGGGGTAGGAAGTTGCCATGTTGCCTCATTCCCATTAGGAAGTTGAAGTGTCCAGCTTAATAGGCATTAGCTTAACCAAAGATGCTCCCCCACCCCACCATTACAAAAGAGTTCCCTATCAAGACTGGCCATGTCCCCAACAACAACTGGACCACTCCCAACAACAACTGGACCACGTTCCTGGACGACCTGATGTCCCCATCCCTCCCTTTACGCAGGCTGTTCATTCTGCCTGGGATCCATGCTTTCCTGGTGAAAGCCTTGTGGGGGGACTACAGCCTCTGTGTTTTCATCCGCCTGCTGGGCCACCCAGCAGGGGGGCAGGAACAGGGGTTCTGTGGTCAAATAAACCAGGCTAATGCTACCCACTCAGTCCCCTTTATGAAGCCACAGAATCAACACACTGAAGGCTCTGACAGGTCCTGCCACCAAGAAACCTGTTTAACAGTATTTCCTTTTAAGGCAGGTGCTATGCATCCCTGGCTGGCCTGGATTTCACTATGTATGTAGAGCAGTCCGACCTTGAACTCACAGGGATCTGACTGCCTCTGCCTCCTGAGTGCTGCAATTAAAGGCGTGTGCCGTCACACCTGACCCCATTGAGTCCTTTTTTTTTTTTTCTATATAATATGAACCTCAGGCTAAAATGGCTTCATATGAAATGTAACCTGGACATTCTCGGGGCCCAAAGAGCAGATAGGTAACGGACTCATGAGGTCTCAGGGAGGCCATGAGCGCCAAGCCAGTGCCATGTCTGGGGCAGAAGCCCTCACCTTGCTGGCTCCAGGCAGCAGGTGCAGTTTGACGTAGGGATCAGCCAGTCCATTGTGGTCCATCGGCTTCAGGCCCTGAGCAGAGACCAGAGAGGATGAGAGTTGATAACAAGGACACAAAGGGCCTCCTCCCTGACATCTCCAATCTCCCTGAGGATGGGAGGTTCTCAAGGGCCAAACAGTGTGGGGTAAGCTTCCCTCCCCCATACTTTGGCCCCGACTCATTTCACTCTCTACCTTCTTGACAACTGAACCCAGAAGACACAGCTCACGCTAAACTTGGGAAGGCCGGTCTCTCTGCACACTTTCCGGACACTACTCCTTGTTGAGACCTCCTTCTCTGACCCCGAGTCTCCATGATTTGGCTCTGTACTCATCCTCACGTTCCTTGTGGCAGCTGGGAAGGCAGTTTGTTCCAAGTCTGGGAGGCCAGTCGAGACTGCCGGCCATTTCCCTCTGCCTTTGCTGGTTGGTATCCCTGGAAGTCACAGGCTGCCTGCCATGGAGGGTCCTTCCACAAGATGGCACCCCTTGCTAACTCTGATTTCAGCCGCCAGCCCAGGAATGTACAGCTCAGGGGAGGGACCACAAGGGCCTCAGCTAACCTTCTGGGGATGGTGTTTTCTCCTTTCAGTGAAGGCCCACAGGGGCGCGGGAGGCAGCAGAGGTGTGCATGGCCCACATTCCAGATGGGTGAAGGAGGGATGACTCGGCTCCTGGGCCAGGTGCCCCAGACCTTTCTCCCAGGTCTAGCTCATTGGGCCTGGAGGAGCTTCCAGGCAGGGCACCCACCCATCGCTTCTCTTCCGCTGTGGCCCCAGGCCCAGGTTCGGGAGCCAGAGCACAGTCCGTGCACTTCCAAGTTAGTGGGCCAGGCACAGGGCAGTCTCAGCTTTATCACAGGTGAAGAGTTACTCATTCCCACAGTCTGAGGGGAACAGAGCAAGGAGGGGTGCAGATGCAGGGCTAAGGGGTGGGACTTCCCTCCCCTGCTCACCCCCTCAGAAGATATCAGAGAAGCAGCTGGGGGAAGGGTGGGGGTTTTAGCCAGGCCCATAGCTACTGGGGCCTGACCTGGAGGCAGTGTGTGTGCCTTGCTAAGGGTGACCGTTCACGTTCACACCAGCTAGCTTTCCCCTGGCAGCTCCTCACCCCCAGGGAGTAATGAGCAGGTGTCCTGGGGGATCTGGTGGGGGTAGCTGACGGCTCCTGTTTTATTTCTCTAATTCCTGCACACCCGTTTGTCATGTTTACAATGTTTTCAATCTTCCTCTTTTCTTTTGTAGATCTTTGAGCCAGGAGATTAACCAGAGATACTGCAGGTCCCACTTCTGAGGCCTGGGCACCCATAAGGACTGGCTAGGGCAGGGGGCAGCTGCCATGCTAGGATGTCAATGATGCCTGCTCTGTCCTTCGGATGCCCAGCCTGTGATGTGGTCCCTTGTTACTGCCACACCCTTCTACCTGGCAGGTCCCTGGACACAGCAGAGGGGCCACACACTGGGCTGGAAGCAAGGGCTGGTGGGCTCAGCCAGAGGCTGGGTGGCTGTCCCTACAGTGACTCCCTAGCTCAGGCAGCCTCGCTGGCCCTGAGTCTGGGGGCTGCCCTGCAGCATGGCAAGGTCTCCCCTAGGCCTGTAGGGACAGCCCCCGGTGCTGACTGAATCCAGGAGAGGGGGTAGGAGGCCGAGTTCAGCCAGAGGTCGGAAAGCGATTGTCTCCAGCAGATCCCATCAGCTTATTGTGTTTCCATGAGACCAAAGCAGATGTCACTGTCTCAGAGAGGGACAGGGGAGGTGCTGTGTGAGACAGTACTACCAGCCCTGAGGGGACAGGAAGGAAGGTAGACTCTCCTCAAACCAAGTTCCTGTCATCCCTGCACTGCCCAGAGCTTGCTGTTTGCTAAGCGTTCGGGACTGGAACCTTCTGGACAGTCAAAGCTGGGGCTCTCAGTGCTCAGCCTGAAGGAGGAGGACAAACACCGGTTGGTGAGTTGGCCTGGTACACAGGGACAGAAGCTGCATGACTGTACCTACATGACTGTACCCTGGAGACCGTGGGGAGGGCAGCTTGGGCCACACAAGGAGAGGCAAGGGGTGACAGGCAGCTGTTTTGTGGGCAAGGAATTTCAGTTCGGCAAGCTGAGAAGGCTCTGGGAGGGACAGTGGTGATGCAACACAGCCATCTCGGCATTCCACCGCTAAGTTTCACATGTGTGATATTTTATCACAATTAAGTAACACTGTGCCGGAGCGGTGGTGGCGCACGCTTTGAATCCCAGCACTCGGGAGGCAGAGGCAGGTGGATCTCTGTGAGTTCCACGGCAGCCAAAGCTACACAGAGAAACCCTGCCTTGGAAAAACCAGGGTATGGGGGAGTAACACTGGTCTTCCAGCACTGTGGCTCTTTGGGGTTTTGCTGGGCACTGCTCGGAGGTGAGTGCCCAAGGTCCTGTGGATAGATACATCCACTGGGCACTACCCTGCAAGACGGGATTAGACAAAACGCCAGGTTTCCAGTGCTATACTTCTACATGGTTCAGTAGCCACACAGGGTGCATGGTGAGTCCTGTTTACGGATAACCAACTGAGACACATTCTCACCTGGGGGTGAGGGTGACCAAGTGCCCCGGTGAGTTGTATGTCAACCTGAGGCAAGCTAGAGTCATCATTGAGAAAGTGTCCCCACTAGATGGGTCTGTGGGAAGACTGTGGTGCATTTTCTTGGTTGATGATTGATGGGGGAGGGCCCAGCTCACTATGGGTGGTGCCACCCCTGGGTTGGTGGTCCTGGGCATGTATAAGAAAGCAGGCTGAGACCAGGTGGTGGTGGCACACACCTTTAATCCCAGCACTCGGGAGGCAGAGCCAGGTGGATCTCTGAGTTCGAGGCCAGCCTGGTCTACAGAGCAAGATCCAGAACAGGCACCAAAACAACACCGAGAAACCTTGTCTGGAAACAAACAAACAAACAAACAAACAAACAACAACAAAAAAAAGAAGGCAGGCTGAGCAAGCCAGTAAGCAGCACTCCTCCATGGCCTTTGCATCAGCTCCTACCTCCAGGTACCTGCCCCAACTTTGCTGGATGATAAACTAAAAGCAGGAAGATGGAATAAACCCTTCCCAGGCTGCTTTTGGTTAGTGTTTTATCCCAGCAACAGAAAACTAAGACACCTAGTGAGAGTGATTGCAGCCTGGGAATCCTTGTTCCTCGGACTCCCCGAAAGACTGAGTGTGGGCCCTGCTTCAGCTGGCACTCTATGGATCCCCTTTGGGGTCCCAGTATTTCCTAGGCCTGTCCCCTTTTTTGTAGACATTTACAGAGAAGAACAGGGCCACCATGGTTCAGAGGCCTCTGGTCCTCACCTCTGTGCACACCAGCACCCATGTAATCTGCGCACACAGGCACAGAGATACATACAGACACAGACATGCACGCACGCACACGTGCACACACACACACACACACACACACACCCCTGGAGCAGGGAGAAGGCAGCAGGAACCCGGATTCTGAGATGGGGAGGGAAAGCTGGGCTCCACTAGAGTGGTCTGACAGCTGGTCCCCAAGCATGGACAAGCTCTGTTAAGTCAGGAGGGGGGGGAGGAGGGGCTCTGCCTGGCCCTGCAGCCTGCCTCCACCTTTCCAGGCTGGGCTCACCAGGAGCTCAGCTCTGTTTCCTAGGCTATCACAGCCTAAAGGTGCCAGCGGAGTGGGCAGAGACACAGAGGGCAGTGACTGGGCCTTCAAATACCCAACCTGGGCCCCAAGCCCCATGGAGACAGTTCTCACACTTGCCCATGGCCTTCCACAGGAGTGACCCAGGCTGGATAGTGGTATGGTGTGGGTTGTCCTTCTAGGCAGGCACAGAGCCAAGGGCAGCCCCTCAGTGGTAGGGTGGGCCAGGAAGAAACACAGAGAGATGCTACAGGGCAGGGATGCTGGGTGAGGTCTAGTCCTGGCAGCATTTGAAAGCTACTCCATGTGTGCTGGGCTGCCTCAGGCCTTTCCACAGCTCTACTAGGGTCTCTACTGGCCACCTGGGCCTTACCTTTCGGGAAAACATCAATTTTGGCACCTTCCTCCCAGAGGGAGCAGTGTGAAGGGAAGAATGTGGTTGAGAACATGGAACAGACACGGGTTCAAGGACAGATCCGCAGAGGACCACAGGGGTAAGACCTGACAAGGCCACACTGGGTCTGCAGATGTCCACGACTCCCCTCAGCAAGGCTCACAGGGCCTCTGACGCTCAGGCCCAGTGGCTACCACCCTGCCTGGGGCCTAGCTTTCTTCCATGGCACCTACGGCTTTCAGCACAGGAGCTGCTTAGGGGCTCGGGGAGCCTAGGGTATGGAACTTGGGAGTGGGGAGATCCAGAGACAGTAGCATCCAATCAACTCTCCCCTCCCACACACACACACTCTGCAAGACAGGCCCCCCACCTTCCTCCTTCTTCAGTGACCCCTCCCAGGCTCTAAAAGCTGCCTGGCCTTCCACACTCCCCCCTTTTGTCTCCTTCTGAAACTCCTTTCCCCAAATGCTTTACTGGGCAGGGCCAGTCTGGGAAGTGGGCAGCTGCACCCCACAGAGCAGGGACACCAGGAAGCCTGGACAGAAGGGACAGGCAGGACCCCGCCCCCGTCCTGAGGCCAAGCCGCGGCTGGCGCAGGGCCTACCTTGGCCTTGCTGATGGTACAGTGCAGGGCGTTGTTCTCCTGGTCATAGAGCAGACTGAAGTCCAGCGTTCCCAGGGCGGCTGCGGGAGAAGGAGATGCGGGTCACACACCAGCTGGATGGGAGGAGCAACACCCTCCCCTGGGTGGCTTCAATAGCCGCATTATGATTACTTTCCGTGTGTTTATTTGTATGGGCACATGTGTGTACACATACGTGCACCAGGATATGCACGTGGAGGCCAGAGGATAACTTGCAGGAGTCAGTTTTCTTCTTCCACCATGTGGGGGATGAAGCTTTAACTCGGGTCACCAGAGCTGGCAGCTGAATCATCTCGCTGGCCCGACAGTCACATTGTTTTCAAGATTAAAAGATTTATTTGGTGGTGTCTGCTTTTAGTCCCAGCACTTGGGAGGCAAAGGAAGGTAGATCCCTTTGAGTTGGAGGCCAACTTGGTCTACAAAGTGAGTTCCAGGTTAGCCAGAGCTACAAAGTGAGATCCTATCTCAAAAATAAGCATATAAATAAATGAATAAATAAAGTTTATTTGGAAGAAGAACCATAAGGCAAATATGTCCATCATAGTCCTCAGAAAATGTGCATGTTGGGGGCTAGAGAGATGGCTCAATGGTTAAGAGCACTGGCTGCACTTCCAGAGGTCCTAGGTTCTATTCCCAGCACCCACATGGTGGCTCACAACCATCTGTAATTCCAGTTCCAAGGGATCTGACTCTCTTTTCCGGCTTCTGTGGGCACCAGGCATTACAGTGATGCACAGACATGCATGCAGACACAATAGCCACACAAATAAAAGAAATATAAGCAAATAACTAATTAAAAAAAAAGACGAGCCGGGCGGTGGTGGCACACGCCTTTAATCCCAGCACTCGGGAGGCAGAGCCAGGTGGATCTCTGTGAGTTCGAGGCCAGCCTGGGCTACCAAGTGAGTTCCAGGAAAGGCGCAAAGCTACACAGGGAAACCCTGTCTCGAAAAAACCAAAAAAAAAAAAAAAAAAAAAAAAAAAAAGACGATGTGAACATGACTCTGGAGGAGCTGGCTTCCTGGCATGCTCACATGGTGCACAGGTGACAGTCTCTGCCCCCACGGACACCAGCTGTCTCCAGCTTCTGTCTTCAGGCTGCTGCACAAACTAAAAGGCAAAATCATTTTTGCTTCTAAATGGCTGGAATTAGTTAAAGCAAGCAAAATCCGGTTACAGCATGGCTTAGCGGAACCACACGGGGATGGCACTAAAGCCATTTTAAATTACACAGATGACTTCCGTATGGAGATTAAGGAAGTGGACAGATCCACAGTGCTGAGGACTGCTGGCGGTGGACTTAGGGTGGAGGCACAGGTTCAAAATTGACCATCACTAGGCCAACCCACAAACCTCAGGAATAAAGCAAAGACGCAGGCAGGCAGGCAGGAGTGTGGCTCTGGGGCAGATCACTGGCCTAGCCTGTGCTGGGCCTTCAGCTCATCCACAGCACTGCAAGTGAAACAAACACTTCAAGTTCTACCAGAGACAGTAGACGTCGTCTGCATGTGTTAACAGCATAACTGTTCCTTCCAGGTAACAGGTGAAGGTCTAAGGGTGTGCCATTCACTAACTTTTGGGCTTAGTAGTAGTAGTAGTAGTAGTAGTAGTAGTAGTAGAGGTCCTGGGTTCAATTCCCAGCAAGAAAAGTTAACCAATAAGGAATGTTATTGTATCCAGCTCAATGGCCGGGTGCTGGGACAATGGAGCAGCTACAATATGCCAACCTCTTTATCTAGCTCTCCCCACGAAACACTCCACCCTCGGAGGGACTCCATCCTGCCACTGTCAGATGAGGAGGCTCAGGGATTCTGGGTGGATCACCTAAGGCTCACGAATGGTAACCTGATCACAATCAGGCAGGTGGCTTAGAAAGGGGCTCTCGAACCCCCACTTTGTGCGGTCTGTCCTGTCCCCTGGTGGTACTATGGTGAACCAGACAGCTTGGGTCCCCCCACACAAGCAACGATACACAGTGGTATGAGAAGCCAGAGGACAGCTCCGAGAGGCTGCAGGGCCTGACCGGCCTGAGTGGCTGGCTGTTGACTGAGCCCCAGGTGACAAGTGACACTACAGCTCCCTGGTCTTCCTGGCCCGGGGAGATCCTCAGTAGGCAGCGACAAGGCAGCTGGGTCCTCATGCGGTTGCCCCCAAGTCTCTCAAGGGCATCGGTGAGTCCCAAGGGCCAGGCAGAGGATGCAGCAATAATTGGGTTCAGCTGCCACCTTAGGAACAGTCACTTGTTACAGCTGTGGCCTGCCATGTCCCGAGGGTTCCCAGCAAGAGGGCAAGAGTCTGAGTGAGGGAAACCTTTGAAGTCCCCAGACAGCAAGATACACATGCTTAGATATCTCCAAATGCCCGATTTGCTCCCAACTGCTGGACAGGTCACAATATTGTCTGGTGGGCCAAGAGCTGGGGGAGCTTCAAAGGGGACTCTGGGCCCCAGTGTGAACAGGGGAGGCTTCTTGGAGGAAGCGATGCCTTACCCGAGATAGTAGGAACCAACAGATAATAGTAGGAGGGACTTGGAGGGGACATCATAACCACAGGCATCTGGCAGATGGGGGTTGGTGGCTGAAGTGATGCTGGGATGAAGGGCGGGCTGGGCTGGGCCTCTGCCCTCATCAAGGTTCTAAGATCTGCACTGGATCTTAGATGGATTCTAAGTGAACACGCATCTGGACTGTGTCTGCCTTTAGTAACAAAGGCAGGCCACATCATGATAGCCTTTGTGTCTGGAGGGACATGGGGTACATCAGGGGCTCTTCCCTTTGTTCTGAGAGACATGTGGAAGTGTGTCGGGTTCCTTATAACCCAACAAGGTGATGTTCTTGTCGCTTTCTACAGTGCAGTTGTGAGTGTGGAGGATGACACCTGCTGTTGCCCTCTACAGGTTCAAATCCTCGCTCTGCATATCCTTGCTGTGTGACTGCAGACAGTTTCCTCATCCGCAACCTGGAGACAACTATAACTACCCCGTGGTGCATGGGGCTGGTTACAGGAACAGCAGTCATACTCTGATGATGCTTCTAGAGCTCTGAGTTTGCCCCTCTAAGGACTTTCTGGAAGGGTCTGCCCTAAACTGGATCACCTTCTCCCTTTCTTTGGGAACATGATATAGAAGCAATCACTTAACGCTCCTCTGCATAAGTGGAGTCATTGCTATGACTACAATGATTCTGCTGTAGGTCACAGTCACAGCTACATAGAGGGGTGTGAGGTGATTGCTCCACTGGGGCTCCTAGGTGGTACCTCACTTTCCTGCCTCCTCCCTTTACTCCTGCCTCTGGTAACACAAACAGCTCTTTCTTTCATAATAATAGTTAGAATTCAGACTAAGAGTTTCTAGGTTGGGAGTGAGCTGCAAGTATCTTTCCCTAGTGGAAAATGCATGCATGCATGCATTAGTGAAGACCACACTGCAGCATCCCCTCTCCCTTCCAACAGGTGAGCATGTGAAGATGTTGTAGGTGAGAATGCTACAGATAAGGATACCGTAACTGAGGATGCTGAGGGTAAGGATGCCGTGGACAAGATGTTGTGAGTGAAGACCCTGAGGGTGAAGATGTTGAGGGCGAGGAAGTTGCTGGTGAGTATCCTGAGGGTGAGGATGTTGTAGGAGAGAATCCTATGGATGAAGATGTTGCAGGAGAAGATGCTGAGGGTGAGGATGCTGCAGGTGAGTATCCTGAGGGTAAGGATGCTACAAAGCACCACTGCCTTTACTGCAGCCACCCAGCTGGGCTTCTGCAATATCATTCTGCAGAGCTGGTGGCTTCCCATGACAGTCAGTTGGCATGCTGTCCAGTTCAGGCTACCTGCTCCCTGATGACCTCACCCCGAGGACGCTGCCTCAGGCGCCTAGGGGGCTGGCAAGCAGCAGATGGTCAGTGCTCATGGTGGAGCTACTCAAATGGCTTTGCTGTCCAGTCACTTCCCAGCAGGAAGGATTTAGTGTGATGCCACATGTTACAGCACACACTCCATGATGTCTGCCTGTGTCCCAACCCCAGAAGACAAGTCAGGGAACGGGTCTCTTGGGACACTAACACCTGTTACCACCACCAAAAAAAAAGAGCAGTGTGCCTAGTGTGCGGTCAGGAAAGGACTGATGAATAGCTAGTGCCACTGAAATCCGTGAAGAAATTCTACCTTGTCATTGGAAGCTCGGTCACCATTTGAGAAACTGCATGTGTGGAGGAGCTGTCTTAGGGAACACATGGCCCAAAATTCGCCCTTTTCACTTGTAGAAATGAGGCTCAGAGAGGGGAGGTGGCCCAATGAGGGTGGCCCAGCAAAGCTGGCGATTGATTCTGTCTTAAAAGCCTAGCGGCTTCCTGAAAGCTTTTCTTCACCATTTTGTGTAACTGAAGTCCCGAAGATGCAGCTAGGGGGAAAAAATGGCTCAACGGTAGAGCCCTTATCTCACATGAACAGGGCCCTGGGTTCTTGCCTCAGCAATGGGGCAGGGGCAGGGGCAGGGATAGGGACTCACTGCTAATCTGAAGGGCCTGAGCGGAGTGGCAGCAGAGGCCATAGTAGGGCTCGAAGGACAAGAGAGAGTGCCTTTCTGTGAGTCCCAGGATCCTGAGGGCCTGCCCTCAGAGCCACTCAGATCACGTGCCTTGATGAAAGTTTACATCTTTGGAAAAATAATGAAGGTTGGTCACTAATGGGCCTCTGAGAGTTGTCACCGGCTTGCTGATAATTATAGCGCTTTAATGGGGCTAATTCAGAGAGAATCAAGCTCAGGCCCCTGTTGCTTCCTCCAAGGCTGAGTGGTCCCCAGAAGGGCCTGTGCAGACAGGCAGCTGGCCGTGCATGACCTTGGTCTGCACTTGAACTCACTTGGCCCATTCACCCCTGGGAATCAGAAATCGGTCCTTTTTGTCTTGTATTTGGAAGAAAAGTGTCAGCCTCTAAAACAGGTGACGAGATGGCTCAGTGGGTAAAAGTCCTGGCTTTGCAAGCCCGACGATCCGAGTTCAATCCCCGGGATCCACGTCCATGTGGGAAACCGGCTCCACAAAGTTGTCCTCTGACCTCTACCTGTGTGCTGTACACACGTGCACCCCTTCACATCACACAAACACATCTATTAAAAATACAATAAATATGCTTGTTTTAATCAGCAGGAACTCATAGAGAGTCATCCAGCCTGATTTGAAAGCAGGTCACAGGTGAGGAAGCTGAGGCGCTGCACTAGGCGGTCACTGTGGGGGAGGGTGCGGAGGAGTGACAGATACAGGGTCACTCACAGAGCCCGCAGACAGAGCCCAGACTTCAGCCACCTCCTTTATCCCCTCACTTCAAGCAGTTCAACAATTCATCGCATCCAAGACACGATCTGACCTCCCTGGTTTGGCATTCAAGCCTTCCTATGCGCTCACTTTGACCTCATCACTCTTCCTTGTCTGTGTTTCTGACACATTGGTTCCTTTGTTCCCCCCACACATAGACACCCCCTTTCACTCTGCTAGTCTTCTTTCCCCTTCCGCCCAGCTTCAGAGCCGAGGCCTCTGCAGATGTCTGCCTCCCCATCCTCCCTCCCTGATGGTCCTCTTGCTGGATTTCTGTGAGCGGCCTAAAGACCATGTATGTGGTCCAGCCCATGCTTGGCTCTCCGGGGCCCCCGTAACGGTGCCTGACACACAGTTGGCATTGCACTGTTGAATGGGAAAGAATACGATGGAGGTCTGGGCAGAACGTGACTGAGGCCCACAGAAGTTCTGGGTGAAGGAAGAAGCCACATAGATCAGTAACTGGAATCTGCCCATGCCCAGGAGAACCTTCCAGGCAGACCCAACAATGGTTCCCCACTTCACCCTTGCTCCAAACCTCTGTGGGCACCTGACCTAGCTGAGTGAGTCATTTGGGAATACAGACACGTGATACAATTCTAGCCAATGAGACAAAAGGACAGGTCTCCTGGGAACTTCTTGGAGAGATTTTCCTGGATCCTAGACATGAGAGTAGAAAAAAAATATTTTTTTTTTTAAATCAAATCTAGGACCTTATTGTTATATGCGATGCCTGGACCCACAGCAGCCACCTTGGATCATGAGGGTCCTGCTCAGCTGATGGAGAGTGAGAGCATCACTGTGACCGTGTTTTACATCTGATGTTCCTCACCCATATGCCCTTGAGGAGAGGAAATCTGTCCCGATTTTCAGCTCAAGAGGGAAAGAACTGGCTGAGTGGCAGGACGGACAGAAGCCTCGTCACCAGGGACGCTGGAGGGCTGCTCCAGTGTACCCTGGCATCTGCAGCAGGACCTTTGCTGCCCTGCTGGGCTGGGCTACTCTGAATTGATTTCACGGTACTTGCAACCCAAAGCCTCTTAGTCACTGCAGCTTTGGGGTCCGGGTTCCCTCTGCAGACAGGGAGCAAGCAGCTTGGGACATTCGGGAGCAGAGGCCTAGGGTGATGCTGCGACTCCTTCAGCAAGGAATGAAAGGTGTGGGGTGTGTGTGTGTGTGTGTGTGTGTGTGTGTGTGTGTGTGTGCGTGTGTATTCATGTGCCCATGCTCACACACTTTGAGGTGACCGGCAAAGGAGGGCTTTTTAAAGCGGAGAACACGGAGAAGCAAACAGGCTGTTTTTATCCTTTGCTTGGACAACAGAGCAACCGTCCTCATTTCTTCTTGTCCGAACAGATAATCCAATAATTAGAGCAGCAAATAGCATAACCCTGGCTAAAGCCATAATGAACCATCTGGCTTGAATCACTTAGGCTTATTCCAAGGGATCTGGTTGTCAGAGCTCAGAGCCTGCACAGCCTTGGATACCAGGTACAGAGTGGTCTTGCTCAGTGTTTCCTCACCCGTGAGGGCCACGGCTCTCACGCTCTCAGCCGGATGCGCTGCCAACCTCCTGGCTCAGCCTCAGACCCACTTCCCCAGCCCTGTAACCTCCAGACCTCTTCTCCACACTTTGTTAGGGCGTCACAGTGTCACAGCGATCTGGGTGTGGCCAGCCCCCGGTTTCAGCTGAGAAAGCTGTATCTGGGACCCAGCTCACGTGAGCCTGTCCCCAGCTAGGACACCTGTGGCTGAGCCCAGAGACTCAGCATGTTTCCCTTTGTACCACTCCCTGCTACTGAAACAGAATTGGGAAAACACTGTGGAGCTGACTGACAGGAGATGGGGCTTCTGGTCTGTTTTATTCTTTTCTGGTGGGTTTCAGGATAACCAAAATGACCAGGTTTCTCTCCTCTTGGCCATATGTCATCCCCTGGGCCTCTATGGCACCTGGAGTGTGGCTGGCAGCTCAGGCACAAGCTTCATCCACCTGCTCACTCCCCTGGCTGCAGGCAGAAGGCTGGAAATGGGAACCGTGTCCTATCCTTCCTTCCCAGGATGTCTCTGGATCCCTCAGGGTGCTGACTGCGGTCCTAGTTAGAACCTCCCCAGAGGCCAGTCAGCCTGGATCCTGGCACAGAGTGCCAGGAACTGGGCAAAGGAGTAAGTAAATCCAGGGCATAGCTCTGCAGACTTTAATAAATTCTGCCCACCCAGTTTTCCCGCAGTCTCCAGGACATCAGAGGGTGAGGCCTGCTCCCCAGCCACTATGCTTGGGAGTAGGGCCTCAGTGAGAGGGTCCAGGCCTAGAATACACACAAAAGGCATTGTTCCCATCTGGGGCTAGATCCACCTCTGTTGATGGGCTCTGAAGTGAAATGAATCTGCTCCCAGGGTGGCACTGTGAACTCCTATCCTCAGCTTTGAGAGGCACATGTTATGCTGGGGGAAAGCCAGGCCTTAGCCCGGAGGCCCCGGGAAACACCCAGGCCAGGCACAAACCTCCAATGTTGTACAGAGGAGGGGCTGCTTTTGCCTTGGGAAGCTGGTGTGGGACCCGCACTCCCCACATCCCATAGCGCCCATGACTAGGTTTTGAGGCTGGCTCTTCGGGTCTAAGTGAGCCAGCTTAGAGTCACTGCTGGGCTGGGGCCCTTCAGTGAAGCGACCCTCACCCCCACCCCCCAGTAAACCCATTGGACTCCTGCTGCAACCTCTTCCCTCCATGGCTTCCGGGATGGTCCCTGGTGGGCCGGGCCAGGTACCCTCAGGGACCACACAACACGCCAGGAGTGCTCCTGGCCTGGCTCGGGAGACCCTGCTGTCCGCTGTCTCTCTGGGGTTGAGTCCTGGAGGAAGGGGCGCGGCTGGGGACCCTCCTGCCCCGGGGAAGCCGGCGTAACAGGTGGGCGAAGGGCTGCGGCCAGGGCCAGCGCGGCGGTGGGGTCCGGGGACGCGGGAGGAGGAACCGCCAAGGTTTTTCCAAAGGACAAGCAGCCCGCGGTCCTGCTCCTCGGCCCGCGCGCACCAGCAAAGCCGCGGCGCGGTGCGGGCCGCTGGGCCCGCCCTAGCCGCCACAGGGTCCCCAGCTCGCCCGGTAGCCTCTCCGGGCGGCCCGCAGAGGGCTCTGGGGCCGGGAGCCACCGCGCGGCCCGCAGCAACTGGTGTCTTCCCGGGACGCAGCTCCGCCCTTCCCGGGAACAAAAGCCGCCGCCCGCTCTGGAGCTCCCGGCGCGCGGGCCGAGCAGGGGTGCGGGGCGCGCTCAGGGGAGCGGAGGCCCGGAAACGGGGTGCTCGCAGAGGACGCCCCCAAACTTCCCAGCTCTCGCGTGCGGGTGTGCCGGGCGGCAGCGGCGCATGCCCTACGGGGCCCCGGGCGCGGGGAAGGGGGCGAGCGGCGGGCGACTGGGAAACTTACTGCAGTCGTCCGACTCATAGCCGTCGGCGTCCGGCTCCTCCTCGGGGGGCTTGGCGGGCGGCCTCGCGGGGCTGGGGCCGGGGCCGGGGCTCGGGCTGGCACCGTAGGCTCCGAAGAGCTGGTCCACATCCTCGTCGTCGTCGCCGCGGCCGCCGTCGGAGGGGCTGCGGGGGCCGGCGCTGGCTGCAGGCGAGCGCGCGGGGGCGTCCGGGGGCGCGGGGGCGCGGGGCGCGGCGGTGGGGGGCAGGCCCCGCGGGAAGCGGGGGAAGTAGTCGGAGATCTGTTTGATGGGCCGGATGGGCCCGGGGCACACGTCGATGGCCATATGCTCCTGGATGCTGATGGTCGCCTTCTCCCCGCGCCGCCGGAGGGTCATGCAGGCAACGCCGCCGCGCGCGGCCCGGCCCGGCCCGGTGTGACCCCGGCCCGGGGACAACTCAGCGGGTCCCACGGGGCGCGGCGGGGGCTGCGGGCATCGCCGGCGTGGCCCCCCGGACGGTCCTGACGCGGTTGCTGCCTGCTTGGCGGCGGCTGGTGCGAGTGAGTGTGGGGCCGGCAGCAGGGGGCGGGCCCAGCCCGCGTCACCCGGCAGCAACCAAGCGGTGAGTGTGCGGGCTGCGCGCGCGGGCGGGCGGGCTGGCTGGCGGGCGCGGGGAGAGCGAGGGAGCGAGCGAGCCAGGAGAGCAACCACTCACTCGCGCTCACACGGCGCGCGCACACACGCACACACACACACACACACACACACACACACACACACACACACACACACACGCGGGAGACGCGCAGGGCCACTCGGAGCCTTCCCTCACTTGCACATCGCAAGCCGGGACCCGCCTGCCACTCATTCTCCTGTGTGCCAGCCCATGAGGGGCTGCATTCACTCTTGCAGGACATGGCGCAGGTGTGTGGGGCACTGCAAACACACACAAACGCGCGTAGAGACACTCAGTGGAAACGGTCACCCGTTGGGGGCTACAGACACATGCAGTGGTGGCAGATGCCGTGGCACAGTGCACCTCCCCAGCAGGCACATACACCCAAGAAACACATGTTCTCAAGGATGCCCGGGACACAGTCTTCCGTGCTGTGCTCAACTAACAGAACCCGCAGCCATAGAAGCCATTTGAGCATGTGGACATGAACTCTTCAAAATCCCCCTCCGGTGCAGAGGAAGGTGGGCAGGCCACAGGATTACTCTCCCAGGAAAACAGGAACAGGCTGTTTACATCCTAGCATGACATGTGCACCTTAGGCTGTCCCAGGTCACTGCGGGCACCGTCTGCTTGCTTCCCCTCAGGTCGCACACAAAAGAGAGCTTCTGTGACCTGGACCGGGCTCCTCATTCAGCCTCTGAGTGATTCGAAAGACCCACAAGAGCAGGTTGGGTGAGGACTTGGACCAGGGCATGGTCAGCATTGGGAGACGGAAGCAGGTAAGGGTAGAGACTGAGTCTGGGTGCAAACCCCACACTCGTGTCTCCCCTGGCCAGGCAACTAAACAAATCCCTGCCGCCTTTCTGGGAACAGCTGTGCTGGGAACAGGCTGCTGCTTGCACAGGTGCGTCTCCAGTGAGCCCCGGCCTGGCGTGGATGGAATCCTGTTTACTCTGGTTTTCACTGACGTGTGGGAGAGGCTTATCATTTTTGGCTGTATCGCTCTATTGCAGTGGTTCTCAACCTCTGGGTCGCGACCCATCACGTCGGCTAGCAGATATTTACATTACAATTCATAACAGGAGCAAAATTACAGTTATGAAGTAGCAATGAAAGTAATTTTATGGTTGGGGGGGTCACCACAACGTGAAGAGCTGTACTAAAGGGTCACAGCATTACGAAGGTTGAGGACCACTGTGCTATTGAGTCTGAATGAGGGTGTCAACCACGAGCCCCGAGATAGGAGAGGAAAGGGCCTCCTCTATTGCTCTCAGTTGCATCATTCTGGTGGGGTCGTTTGAGCCCCCAAATCTCAGTTTCCTCATCTGTGAAATGGGACTAATTCCAGTTTCACAGCAGTGTGGTGAAGCGCCACATTAGCACTGAGGATGGCTGGTAGGAGGGACTTCATGAGACTGCCTTTCTTTTCTTTCTCCCTTTAAGAGACCAGACTCGCTGGTAAGAAGTGATGGAGAATTGCATGCTTTCTTCCCCCTTTCATCATTTTCCTGTTTTTCTTTGTGGTCCTGTGAATTGAACCTAGGGTCTCACACACGTTAGGCACACTCTACCACTGAACTACACCACCAGCCCTCGGGGTTTTTATTTTGAGAAACGGTTTCCATACGTTGCCCAGTGGGCCTTGAACCCCTTTCTGTCCGAGGCTGGTCTTGAATTTGTACCTAGTCCTCTTTACAGTTCTTATTTTGAGACAAGGTCTCACTAAGATGCTTGTGCTGGTCTTGGACTCACCTTAGCCCAGGCTTTACCTTCAACTTCTGGTCCTCTGCTGCAGCCTCTTGAGTACTGGATTACAGCCGGCTCCTCTGGGCCTGGCTGTTGTGCGTGAGGGACCACCTGTCTTTAGAAACCATGTCCTACTCTGCCACGTGCCCCAGTCACCAGCTCACTGATTCTTTTGCTGTCCAGCATGGAGCCAGAGGTTCTTGTTCCCATTTTACAGCTAAGGAAATTGAGGTTCAGGCACAGAGAACAGCCCGGGATGACTGCTGGTTGCTGAGAGCTGCAATTAAGACCTAACTGAGGGGCTGGAGAGATGCCTCAGGGGTTAAAAGCACTGGCTGCTCTTCCAGAGGCCCTGAGTTCAATTCCCAGCAACCACATGGTAGCCTACAACCATCTATAATGAGATCTGGTGCCCTCTCCTGGCCTGCAGGCATTCATGCAGACAGAATACTGTATATATAATAAACAAATAAATCTTAAAAAACGAAACAAAACTGAGGGCTGGGTATGGTGGCAAAGACCTTTAATTTCAGCACCCAGGAAACAAAGGCAGGAGGATTGCGACATGTTTGAGGGCAGCCCGGTCTACAGAGTGAGTTCTACACCAGGCAGGGCAATACAGCAAGACCCCTTCTCTAACAATACAGCCTGGTTTTGTTTGGTTTCCATTCTCCCTTCCCCTCCCTCTCCTTCCTCACCCCTGCAGAGTTGGAATGGCTCAGAGTGGAGCTGGCTGTACAGGTGAAGCCTTGCACTCCAGGATCCTCATGAGGCTTTTGGGGTGGAGACAGCCAGATGGAGTGGGGATGGGTGTGGGGGTGTGGGGGGACCGAGCTTCAGGGATTACAGGGCAGTGAACTGGCCTGGCAGTCTGGGTGCTGGGAGAGCCTACTCAGCCTTCTTGAGATTCTAAGTCTAAGGAGGGACAGAGGCACCTGGTCTTAGCAGGGCTGTCATTCTTGAATGACCAAAGGGGCTTAGTCCTTTACACGGGCACACTGTGACTTTCCCTATGCCAGAAGTGGCAAGAGGTGGCTGCATCATGAAATGATGTATTCTGAGACAAGAGTCTACAGAACAGTCTCCACAGTTCCTTCAGTGAGGAATAAGAAAGGGGAGCATCATCTTGCAGGCAGGAAAAGTGAGGCTTCAGGTGGGCAAGGGGCTAGCAAGTGGGACTGGGCACAGGAGCCTGGGTATATCCTGTGTGCTTTTTAAGTCAAAGTCTGACCTGTGGGCTTGTGGGGAGATTGGGATGGAGGAGGGGCTAATCAGTTCCTCCTGGCTTCTTCTTCTCTCTCTTTTTTAAAGATTTATTTAATTATTATGTACACAATTCTGCCTGCATGTAAGTCTGCACACCAGAAGAGGGCACCGGATTTCATCATAGATGGTTGTGAGCCCCCATGTGGGTGCTGGGAACTGAACCCAGGTCCTCTGGAAGAGCAGCCAGTGCTCTTAACCTCTGAGCCATCTCTCCTGCCCTTCCTCCTGGCTTCTTGATCTTTTGAGGAAGTGGCTTTCTAGGAGAGTAGAAGAGTAAGTAGCTCCTGGTTCTTGACCCAGTAGAAGCTAGCTAGCTCTTGGGAAAAGTCTAGAAAGGGGTCCTAGCTTACAAAGCATCAAGCCAGGGAAGCCTAAGATAACCACTGAAGAAAGGTGGTGTGGCAGCCAGACTCTGGCAGCAGGCAGAATGGAGGCCCGTTCTGAGTCTGAATTAGCACCAGTGAGCTCTGCTGACATGGGATGGGACCCACGAAGCGGGGAGTGTTGAAGTGGTGTCCTCTGGAGAGAGGTCCAGTTTCTGGAAAGACCAGGGCTTAGGACTGAGACAGACTTGTGTCCTGGTCTCCCTGCCCTGTGTCTGACTTTGTGTGATTTGCTGCAGTCCCAGGAGTAAAGGGAATCTGGACAGAAGATGCCTAGCACACTATCTGGCTGGTAGTAGGCTCTCTTGACGCATCTCCCCGGTGCAGACTTTCTCCTACGCCATGTGCCTGCCTCAGTTTCTCTATCGGGTGAATGTAGTTAGCTGCTCTGACTGTTGCCAGGACCGGGTGAGGACACAGACAGGAAACCTGTTGAGAAATGACTGTTCTTGCCAGTGCCGAGTACCAGCTGGCAGGGGGTGGGGATCTCTAAGCAGCTGGATAGATCTAAGCCTAATCAATCATGTTGCTGGGGTGGGCAGCTCCACAGCAGAACTGGCCCCCCGGCAAGGTTCAGTGAGTACAGTCTGCTCCCCCACCCAGACTCTCTCAAAGGTCCTCTACAACTAAAATAGACTCCACGAAGGATGTCTGGGCTGTCTGTCCCACCTTGATGGATGTCTATGAATAATGCAGATTCCAGGGCCCCACCTCACCCTCACTGACCCAGAATAGGTGTGTGCAGTGCCAGATGTGTCTAAGCAGGCACCTGGAGATGATTTTTGTGCACAGCAAAGGCTGTGAATTGCTGGGTTAGGAGGTGCTAATGGGTTGATACCGTGATGCTCAAGCTGCAGGGGGCCCTCCCCCACAGTTCACACATGTCACACATACCATTCACAGCACCTCTCTGTATTTAGCAGTTCTCGTCTGAGGAAGTAAGTGCTTGATAGGAGTTATGGGATATGGCATCTGGAAGGGCATTTCTAGAAGAATTTGGCAAAGTCAAAGTGAGGAGTTTTATTTGAACCTCCTTGGTCCAGAATGAACAGTGAATGCCTTTCCTTTTTGTAGGTGACATACATTTCTTTGTCTTTTTTTTTTGAGACAGGGTCTCATGTAGTCTAGGATAACTTAGAACTCAGGGATTACAGGTGACATGCCTTTTGTTTTTGTTTTTCGAGACAGGGTTTCACTGTGTAGCCCTGGCTGCCCTGGAACTTGCTCTGCAGACCAGGTTAGCCTTGAACTCCCAGAGATCCTCCTGCCTCTGCCTCCCAGGTGCTGGGAGTAAAGACACGAGCCATCACCGTCCAGCCAGGTGACGTGCATTTTTGTGGATATGGCCTCTACTCAGCAGTTGGCTGGATGTCCTTGGTTGATGTCCCTAGCGAGTATACTTGTATCTGGGGAGGGAAGGACATTGCTGGTTCTGGCCTCCCCTCC